ACTCTGACACGTAAACAAAAAAACTCTTGTGGCCTGTCGCCACTACCCTAGATTCCTTCTTGAACTTCTAGCAGCTCCCAACAAACTCAGTGTTGTAGCCATCATCATCTAGTTTCCTTGCGGATAACAAACTAAATCTGAAGCTAGGAAAATACTTGATGCCTCATAGCACCAACTCGATCCCTTCGTCTGTCTTCAAACAAACATCTCAAATTCCTCTTATCTTGGAGATACTCTCATTCCCCATCCTCACTGAGCCGTAATCACCCGTAGTAAGAGATGAGAACCAACGTCTGTCTAAAGCAACATGCACTGATGCTGCAGTGTCCACTATCCACTAGTCTATAAATATGTTCCTCTGAACATAAGCTAGAAACTCTTCAACCTGATTTTCATCTATTACAGAATTTGCAGTATTGTTCCACTTCTCAAAATCTTCTTTGAACTTTCTGTAAAAGCGTTTAACGTGTCCCTTCTTGTAGCAGTAATAACACTCCACTTTTCCACTGGAATCTCCACTATCCCTGTTATATCTATGTTGCTGCTTGTCGTTGTAATTCATCTTTGCCTTCCCTTTGTTCTGAGCTACCAAAGCTGATTCAACCCCATTTTTTACCTCTGAAGTACATGCAGACATTTTCTCTAATTTTCTCTAGCCTTCTTCAGATAAAGCGACATCACAAATAGATGAAAATTTCAAACTACTGTGCCTTAGCGAATTCGACACCGCGGTCTTTACTGTCTCCCAACTGTCAGGCAAAGATGTCAACAGCCTCATAGCTTTTACCTCCTCATCGATCTTTATACCCATCCATTCTAATTTGTTCAAGATGTCGATAAGCTCATTAATGTGGGAATTCACCGAGGTTCCCTCTTCCACATGGATAATAAAATACCTCGTCCATAAAAGTATTTTTGTATTGACAGAAGGTTTTTCATACCTGTCTTGCAAGACATGCAATAGCTCCTTCGTTGTAGTCTCTTTCGCCACCAGACTACATACCTCAATTGATAATGATATTTTGATGTTTGCAACGACCTGCTCATCCATCTCATTCTAATCCTTGTCAGTCATCCCTGCTAGTCTCTCCCCTTAAATCTTGTGTATTTTATTGCACGTAAGCATATCATTTATTTGTATATTCCAAAAAACAGAAATTCTCTCCGGTGAACTTCAAAACCCCTTTATAATAGTGATGACATGATATTTGTCTCCTATGATGCTGCAACCCTACAGCTCTAATACCACTTGTTTGGGAAATTAACGGTCTTGCATAATTTTCCCTTCCACAAAAAAATATCCGAACACAACCACAATATACAAATAGAAAAGAAAACTTTAAAGAATAAGAAAACGACACAGCAAATTATATTGGTTCACCAATAAGGTTTACGTCCAGTCTTCCACTCGGATGTGGGTAATTCACTAATAATGTTAGGATTATAATATAAATCTCTCCCCAAAAATATCCCCTAGAGGTCCCAGAAAAAGCTCTCTAGCTTCTAAGTATTTTTACACAATTAATACTTAGGTTCAGGAATGAAAAACTCACAGGAATCAAGATCTAATTAACCCGAATATGTTGATCTTGATTAGCCTCAATGCCTCTGCTAATACCCAAGCCGTTGCCACTAATTAGCTACCAAAGCCCTTTGAAAATTGGCTGCTAAAATCCCTCGTTCGACTGGAAATACCCTAAACCCGTAATTGCAGTATTTATAGACTCGAAACAACGCCATGACGCTATGGACGGAGAAAAACCACTCCTGTGCCCATTAGGACAGTGCCGTGGCGCTGCACTTTTGGCCCTCGTGGCTTGCAGCGTCCTGCTTCTCTGTTTTTCATCCCTGCTTCGATCTTGACGCATCCGGACTTGATCCCGACTCATTCTTAACTCGTTCTAACATCGTTTTGGCTCCACCAACCCCAACAAAAAAGTCTATAGAAATTTAACACGCTAGTTTTCTCTAGAGAAATTTAACACATAAAAATGTCCATTTACTAATAATAAAATAATAAATAAATAATATTTAAAAATGAAAAAGAAAAAAAAAAGGCGCGCGCACCACCGTGGACGGCCCGCGAAGCATGAGAATGCGGGTTGGGGAGAAACAGGCACGGACTGCGCACGTGCAAGATAATGATAATTTTCCTTTTTTCTTTTTAATTTTGTCTGTATTAAGCGGCGGATGGATAGATTCATGCATTATTATTGTGTTGGGGAGTAAAAATTATGGAATCTTGTTCTGCTTTTCCTACTCCTAATCATTGCTTCATTTTCCCAAATTGCCCCAACAACGCTTTTACAACTCAAACACTCTTCCACCAAACCGGCCCCAACGTTCTCGTGGTTCGGTTTTTGATAAAATATTAGAAGAACAAAAAAATTCGAATCCAAAAAAAGTGACAAACTCCAACTCCAAGTACTATTTTCTTGATTTTGAGTTTTATTAATCTCAATTACAAACCCTTTTAAGTTAATAGGTGGAATAAAGCTTCGAGAGAATGTCTTTTTAAATTGAATTGAGGAGAAATTTCTCTACGATTGTAATATTTTTTACCTAGAGGATTTTTTTTTTCTGCGGGTGGTCGTGATTTTTCTTTTGTTTAGAGCTGTCTAGGTAACTTTTTTTAGCTTCTAAGTTATGCGGGTCGAGTGAGAGATTTTTTTTCCAACAGTTGTGCTCCCATCCAAATAAATTATAGGATTGAATTCGAGATTTGATCTTAGTGCCTAAATAGAATGTTTGAAATTTCAATTTTGTGTTTAATAGGTTTTTTGCCTAAGAGATTTTTTTTTCTTTAATACATTAACCTATTAAACAAAAAAATTTATGTTTAGAAGCCTATTAGACACAAAATTCAATATTTAATAGGTGGTTGAATTTTAATAAACTTACTTAACACAAAATTTATATTTAATAGGTTGTTGAATTGTACTAAACTTTCAATCTAACACAAAATTGAAATTTCACAGATATGCCAGAGATTTTTAAAATTTAGGAGTCAAATAAACACGATATTAAAAGTTTAAAAACTTATTAGACACAACGTATAACTTCTAGGATAAAATTAATAATTCAAGCTAAATTATACTAATTAGGTAATAATATTAAAACACTATTTAATCATATAGCTTAGACTTAGTCTCTTCACTCTCCTTTTATTTAAACAATTGCAAGAGTAAGAAATCAAAATATCGAACCTTTAGGATGATAATAGGTGCCGTGTTTGAAAAACATAGCATAATATTTGATTCTTATATAATTTGGTCTCAATTGTTGGGTCAAGTCTTGCAAATCGTCTCTGCTACATGTCCATGGTATTTAATATGAAAATTAAATACGAAAGTTTTTTTATATAATAAAGTAAATTGAAAATGGATACGAGTGAACAATGTAAATAAAAACGGATCCGTATAGAGGCTAGAAAGGCCTGAATCCCCCAAACTTTATATAAATAATATTTATTGGGTGTTTATAATAAGAAAGATGTTCCTGGTTCGTTGGCATTCCTAATGCATGTCTTTCCAAACTTTTTGATCTTACACCGAACATAATTAAGTGGTAATTAGCATATACGAATTAACTTCATTCTTTTTTTATATTTTTTAATTTTTTTAATACAATATGTAGGATAGAGGATGAAACTCACAACCTCTTGAAAAAATAAAGCGAAAATACAGGATAGCGAGATCTTTTAACAGGAAGAGGTGAATAGGAAATGAAGTTAGACATAAAATTATGGATTCACATAAACCACTCATTTCACAAAGAAATCCTTTCAACTTTTATTACTATCCTCATTATTCTTTTGCATTTAATCTAATTGTCGGTTAACTATTGAGATCAAATATTTAAATTGTCGGTTTTTTTTGGTCTAAACGGCGTCGTTGGGGTTCCAAGTGTTGTAGATCAGGAGTTTGCTTGCCCCACTCAGCAAAAGTCAAGAAAAAGACAAAACCCCAAAAACCAGCGGCACATGTTATTCTTGGCTTAAGGCCGAACCCTTAATCAACTAATTATTAATTAATTAACTTAGAAAAAAAATTAAAAGTATTTTTAAGCATCTTGGCTTTTTCCGGGAAAAAAAGATATTTAACTAATCTCAGATCCAAAGAAAACTAAAAAGTTGAATTTCAAATATAATATTTCAACTTTAAGAGGTATTTATTTAAGGCTCATTTAATATTGTGTTTCTTTTCTTGTTTTCTTTTTTTTTTTTTTTAATTTTTCATCTTTTATATATAAATAAAAATATAGTTACGTTAACTGTTCATTTATTTGTTGTTCTTTATTTTCTATAGAAAAAAGCTATAGAAATATGTTTGGTACTCATTCAAAATGGAAGAACAAAATGAATTTCTTTTTATATAAAAAACAGTTTTTTAATTGAACATTTGAATTTTTAATATTTATTATGTAGTTGTAAGTCAATAATTATTAAATAATTTTGGAACGGAAAATCTAGATTGACAATAAATTATCTATTTTTGAAAAATAGAAATAAATTCCTATGATTTATAACACCATTTAAATTTTGTCACGATATATTAATTAAATGATGAGTAATGAAAGAAGAAAAAATTGAAGTGAGATATAAGAAAAAAATAGACTACTGCATAAATAAGGTAACATAAACCTGTATTTCTGTATATAATAGATACTTTAAAATTTTAGAAAAAGTATAATTTAAATTATACTAAAATTATACCGTACTTTAAAAAAAACAAAAAAAACCTTAATGATTTTTTAAAAAACATATCGAATTTGTGCTATGAGTGAAATTTATTAGGAAAGAAAAAAAGAAGTGACAATAAATAACACGAGAAAATAGGCATACGAAAAAAATAAGAGCATATCCAAATTTAGGCAGAAATCATTAGTCAATGAACTAATTAATAATTTAGGAAAAAAAATTGAAAACAAACATATTGGCATTTTCCGGGGAAAAAAATAAAAATATTTAGCGAACCTCAGATCCAAAGAAAAGAAATAAAATAGCAAATTGTTCCGTTTACAGAGTTCGGGAACAAAGATCAAAAAGCGGCATTTAAGAACACAGTGAACTCTGGTTCTGCGTCTCTCTTCAGAGAGAAGAGAGATTTCCGCTTTCGCTCCTAACACGCTTGCTTCAAGATTCCATCAAATTTTTCTCTTACAACTCATCTCGGAACCTTCATTTCTCTCATTCATACTGTTTCATCTGCCGGAGATTTCGAGAACAAGCGCAGCTTCGCCAAATTCAGAGTTGTATTCAACAATCTATGGAGCTCTGAGTGTTTCGTTTCGACAACATGCTGCTGTGAATGTTTTGTTCATGATCCATGTCGGTAGCTGTAATCTCTACTCGTGTAATGTGATTTATCGAGGCGTTTTCTTCTTTTTTTCGTTTTTTTGTGATTGTCTAACTTTTCTTCAGTTCAGTTGTGTTGTGGTCTCTGATGCTTGATTGCGCTAATCATGGCTGGAGAAATTGAACAGCCGTTTACCTTTAATTTCCAGGTATTGCTTTCGCTTTTATTGCTTTTTCTCGAGTAGCTTGCTTTATTGTTTCTTGCTAATATTTTGGATTTTTTGACGTAGAACGAGAGTTTCATTTCTCAACCTAAATACAAAATTTTATTATTTATCAAATAGACTGTCATGTTGCCTTGTCCACCGTTAATAGTAGTTAGATTTCTCCTGTTCTGTGCTGTTTTCGTCAATCTATCCTCGAAATAACGGGAGGACGTTCTGTTTGTTGGAATTCTACTGAATTTGTTGGTGCATCATTTACTGTTACTAATGAGAGGATTAATTTTACTAATATGGTAAATTGATTTTCGTGTCTAAAAGTTTTAAAAGTCGATTGTTATTGCAATTAATTGTCGCGAAGCATGTATATTGAGATTTGTGATGAATAACTTTCCAGATGATGTGGTGTTTATGAACTTTTAATGCATTGACAGTGAAGTTCAAATATCTTAATGTTCATTACTAAATTCTGTGGTATGAGCTAACCTATAAGCTGCAAAGATTTCTGTATAATTTTGGGGGTTTGTCCAGCAAGAGTTGGATGCTATATTTTCTCCCGTTTCTTAGGGCTCATTGATTTCTCTCTAATGCCAACTTGTTTGGAATGATCAGGTGGATTCTGTGCTCTCAGACTCCATATCATTTGGAAGGTTTCAAAATGAATCTTTATCTTGGGAAAGGAGGTCATCATTCTCTCATAATCGGTACCTTGAAGAGGTAGAGAAATACTCCAAACCAGGTTCAGTCAATGAGAAAAAGGCTTACTTTGAGGCTCATTTTAAGAAGAAGGGGGGCCCGCTCGGTCAGAATTCAGCAGAGTCCCATACTATAGAGAATGATGCATCAGCGCAAGTGAATCAAGGGGAAAATATTGAGATTATAAATATGGAAAATCATAATGGTCATTTTGATGATAGCTCTGACAGTCCACAAAACCACGGGGACCATGTGGTTACAGAATTTGATGAAATGCCAAAACCTGGAATTTCATCTCCTAATCCTGAATTTGAAAATTCTTCCAACAGTGTTGGTGGTTCAGTGTATGGTGATCTTAATGATGTCAATGCTGAAATGAGTGAACAAGATGACAGTGGGGAGAACAAGTTTTCATCTTTTGTTGGTGATGAACCAGAGGTTGAAATGAAGCAAAATACCAACAATATTGCAATGAGTGAGAATAAGCCATCTGAAGCCATGGAGTCAGGCCCCAAAAATAAACCAGTAAAGAAAGCTGGCAATAGCTGCTCAGGAAGTCAGCAAACTCCCTCTCCGAAGGTACAGTTCTTCTCTCTAATCTTTTCAAATTTTGCTCTTCTCTTCTTCATTATTGTTTCTTTAAGTCGTAAACCAATTACATTCTGATTCAATCATGTTGCATCTTTAGTTAGGTGAACACTTGTTCTTCTGCAATCTGAATCCTTTAGCTTAATATCTAATTTTTTTGTTACTTCTCTGCCATTCACCCCCCACCCCACCAAACATTAGTTGATATCTAAAAGGGAAACAAAGGCTTCCAAATCTCTGGCCAGTATTCGTCAGAGTCGGAGAAATATTTCTGGTAATTCACTCAAATCTCCTGAAAAGATATCCAATAAAAGCAAAGGAGAACCTTCACATTCAACATGCTCGGAAGAGCATTCATCAAGAACTGCCACTTCACGCACAAGTGCTATCCGTAGAACCCCCAAAGTTGAGGTAATTTTTGGTTTATAATAAAGCAGCTTGAAATTCTAATTTGTGCCATTATCTTTATAATGTGAAATGATTAATTCTTGAATTCACCAAGTCTCATTTATGTAGCTATCCATTTTTTCCCTTAATTTGACATTTTCTAGGATTCTAAAGTTCTCAAGGGAAAAGCAATTCTTGACAGTAGAAGGTACATTTACCAGTTCTAGTTTTTCCGAGTTTAGTATGTTTGATGAGTAGTTGAGACCATGAAATGATTATCTTTCTGATGCAGTGGTGAGAAGGTACAAACTTCTGGAGTATCATATTCTTCTCCCTCGAAGCTCGAGTCTAGATCATATCTAAAGACAACCACCAGGTTTCACTGCCCTGTCTCAAAAGATGTTCTCTTCTATTTATCTTCTATAGCGATGTCGAAATTCTCATGTACTTTCAATTTAATATGAATGCAGACAAAACCGGACTGTGAACTCAGCCATGCATGATACAGGAAAAAGCGCTTCAGCCTCCAATTTTAGAAGCACAGACTTGGCAGAGAGGAGAAAACAGGCAAGACAGATCTCTGTTATTGTAGAGCAATACATATCCCTGTGGGATTGAATATAAATGGCCCACTACTTTATTGCTTTTACTTGAACACCCACTTTCATTTTAAGTCGGAGGAAAAATTGCACATCATAGAAGTTGATAGATTTAAGAGCCAAGTAAGAACACGGGTAAAAAAATTATACATATATTGCAGAGAGAGTTCATGAGATGATGCCACAGCTGGTGAGTTCCCATTTGTTGCATTATGCTTCTATTATGAAGTCAATTTAATAAGTAAAATATTGCAATATTACAGCTAAAAGTATAATTATCCAAGCAAACTATAATCTAGTGAACTTCATATGCAGATTTTTCGTTATTCATTTTATGAATAGCATAATGAAACTGGTTATCTGCTGTTGTCTCAGGGCAAGGCAGATGCTGAGATTAAGAAATTACAGAAGAACCTTGACATCAGATTAAAACCAATACCCTGTGCAGTTCAACCGCAGTTGGATGCGAAGAAGGTAAATGAGCTGTCGTTTTCCCATTGATTCTGCTAAAACTTCTGGAAGTTCATGCCATATTGCTTACAAGTCTGTAATTAACAAGAACCTAAGCAATTTAAAGTGATGTATTTTTCTTCTTTACCTAAGTTTTTGGCAGTTAATATCTTCCAGAAATGAGGAAAATAAATGAAATGGACAGTATTTTCAGATATCAAGACAGCATGTACTTTTGTCAAGCAAATGAACGGGCTAGATACCTTGATATTGGTTTGTTAGCATGCATTTTTGCTTTAATCAATAGAATTTACTTTGTTTTGGTTCATGGTACATCTCAGGCTTCGTGTAGCGGCGCCAAAGTAAGAAACACTTTAAGGAAGTCGACGACAGCGGGATCGTCCTCGCATTCACAGTTAGGAAAATACGTCAACTCCTCTGCTAGTGAAGCTCCAAATACTTCAAAGAACATGAGCTGCCACACAGCCGTGCTTGTTGAAGCAAGTGAAAATTCTTCAATTCCATCAGCCAACCAAGAGTGTCTGTCAGAAGCTGTTTCAGAAACCGAAAACAAGAGAAAGAAAGATCAGGCAAAGGAGAAAAAACCCAATGAGCAGAGATCCCGAGTTTCAGAGAGTTGTAGGACATCGAAACAAGAAGTTGTAGGGAGGCAGAAAGTCGGCACCCGGAGAAGCATTAACATGATGGGGAGAAGGGACATTAAAGGTGTTGCTGGCTCTGGAATGGGTCGTTTTGCCGTTGGCGTTACGTTGTGATTGCAGGTTAATCCTTCATCCTTTCTTTGTTCGAGCCAGTTAGCATAACAATTGCCTGAAAGCATCATTGTTCATGTTTTCATGGGCTCCACAAGTAGTAGGAATCGTCTAAATATATTGTCCTGGTTCTGTATTTAGCATCATTGTCATTGCTTTGTAATTTAGAAGTAATGTATGTTAAGATTTGGCAGGAATAAACAATAATTGTGACTAAACTTTTCTTTCTATTTTGGAGGACTTCTATAGATTCTCCATTAGATAACTCGAGCTTCATTTCACTCTCTTATTTGTCATGAAAATGATGAGGTCTCAATTTTATGAAAATGTCGATAGAAATATCGATAAAATGTCAATGTCGATTGATATTTTTTTAAAAAAATATCCATAAAAAGTATCTAAAAAAATTAATAAACATTAATTTCACACCTTTATAAGTTGAAAATTTTCTTAACTTTATGTTCACATTGATGATGTGGAATAATGAAAATATTGATTTCACTTCCTACGTCAATATCGAACCTAAAGACGTGGATAAAACTTATAGGTACCTACTAGTAAGACTTTTCCTACTTACCATCATTAAAAAATTGATAATTATTTAATCTGTTTTTTTTCACTTTTTTTTATACATTCATCTGTCTAATTTTGTAATGGTAGTAGGTAGGAGATACCTATCAATTGGTAATCACCTAAGTTTTATCTTTATTTTTTATTTGTTTGTGAAGGATAGCACGGGAACGATAATCATAAAAGTTGTTTCTGTCTATCTTGATTTTTTCTATTTCTTAATATATACATATGTGTATATATATATATATTTTATTTTTTTTATTTTACAAATGTAGGGAGTATGGAGATTTGAATCTCTCTTTAAAGAGAAGAATGAGAGAAATAATTTTACTGTTAAACTAGACTCGTGTAGACAACTTTAATCATGTCATATCCAAAAATTTGAGAGAGCTTAAAAGAAGTTGCAAAATCTTATAAGGATCAGCCCAAAGTTGGTCAAGGAGTAGTTTCACCATTCTTAGAAGAAAAAGGCACCAACCAAGAATTTGATAGGAATGTAAAAACCGTCCCAAATCAAAGTTTTGGGGAGTTCATTATTTCGTAATTGGAGAGACGGGTGTGTTTTACACGTGAACTCATATAGTCTAGGTTAAAATAGTAGTTTGGTCCCTATACTCTGTTTGGTTCATTTTAGTCCCTACATTTTTAAAATGTTGTTTTGGTCATTATATTTTTAATTTTGGTTCATTTTAATTCCCGTATTTTCAAAATGTTTATTTTGGTCCATGTCTTTCTAAAAAGTTTGGTCCCTAATTTAATTCTTAATCTCATTTTTTTCATCATAATTTCATCACGACACTAAAATCAATATATTTCTTAAAATGTAAAACATTACTTTATACTAAAAATTTTGGTTGTGTAAAATTTGTGTTAAAATCTTACAATGAGGGACTAAAATGATCAATTTTTTGAAGTATAGTGATCAAAATGACCATTTTTTAAGTACGAAAATTAAAATGAACAAAAGTCGAAAGTATAGGGACCAAAATAGTATTTTAACATATAGTCTAATAAACAAAAATGCTAATGGATTGAGAATTAGTCTCATGTTGGCTGTTCTCATCAGGGACTTAATACTAAGACGTCATCAAACTATTCACCACAATCAACAAAGCATACCTAATTTGTTTACGGTACTAGTTTTGACATCAATAAACTACATTAGTACATATATTTGAAGTTATATCGCTCGTGCATTAAATTATTGACTACATAATTAATAACATGATCATGAAAGATCAAAATGAAATAAATATGATCTTCTGTATCATCTTCTTCATTTGTTTTCCTAGAGGTCTCAATTACATTGGAAATGTATAATGCAACCAAGAATTTGAAAACGTAACAAGAAAACTATCCAAAATAAACAAGATTTATCTACTTCCATTGCATTTTTCAGTGAGACGTATTATTAGACCATGATCTTCTTTATAAAAGTTCATCACTAAAAATTTCCCACCAATAAAATGAAAATTAAGTTAATATGAACTTAGCTCAATCGTAATTGATACTTGTCTCTGTCACTTTGAATCCCCGACCAGAAAGAGAAAATGACGTTTACAAAAGTTGATCAACTTATTCAACTTCCCACAGAATTTGAGCATTCGGACTCCATTAAAATCACCAGACAGCAATAAAACCCATCAGTCCAAGGAGAGCAACCACCGGCAGCTCCACGGCCACCCTCCTCCGGCCACCGGCGAAGTCCTGACCGATGGGATACAAGTTCCCCGGCGGACCGAGCATGTAAATGAAGGAGGACGGAGGCGGCGGCGGCGGAGGGCAATACGACGACGGTGGTTTCTTCGGTGGGGGTGGTGGAGGTGGCGGTGGATTATAACGGGTGCACGGCGTACACTTGACGGTCGAATCGCCTCCAGTAGACCCGTCAAGCTTGTTGGAAGAGATCAAGCCATGGATTGTTACCACATTGATTGAAAGAATCAAGAGCAAGTTCAAGATCTGAGTTTGGATCCACATATTGAATGATCAAAATTCTCTTAAGAAAAACTAAAAGTTTTGGAGAAGTGGGTGTGGTTTGAGGGGAAAAAGGGCGGAGATAATGAGATTGTTTGGAAGGTGAAGGGAAATGGAGGAGGGCGGCGGCTTTATTACGTAATCAAAAGTGCATGAAAATAAAAGACCCATTTTTAAAGGTAGATTTCAAAATTTCATGATTTTTAATAATAGATATAGATTCCAAATACTTTTATACTTTTTTTTTTCTTGGTGTAAAATTACGTTGTAGCAACCTCCACCAATAATTTTTTTTATACTGTAGAAAAAAAAAGAAAAGAAAAAAAAGAAAGAAAATATTGGAAAAAGTTTTGCCTACCAACTAGTGGGTAGGAGCTTTCTAGGTGATCTATTTATGTCATATTTCTTATCTTTATGAGTATATTTATATCATAGGCTAAATATATATTTTAGTCAATATATTATGTTTATGCAAGAATATGCACAACAGTGTATTTCAGATTGCAGCTTGAACTCGGCCTCCGGACCGATCTAAATACTTGGGCGGACCTCAAAAAGGTGAGCACTCCGACGATCAAGTCAGTATAGGTCGGATTCCCAGTTTAGTTTCGAGGTCAGAAAATCATCGTACCTGATCGCGAAGTGAGGTCCTCTACTTATGGGTGGTAGTCCCGCTAATCTCGCGGCGGTTACACCCGGTAATCTCGGGACCGTCGGTTACACCCGATAATCTCGGGACCGACGGTTACACCCGATAATCACGCCGCTGACAGTAGCTCACCTCGGCCCCCACCGAGCTCCTGGTATCGGACCTCGGCCAGGTTCACCTCGACCCTCATACTTAGCATCTGTCAACGCTAGTGGTGGTGATCTCGACGGTCCGAGTTGGGCATGACTCATGAGTCATCTTGGAGCACCAATAGGGGTCCTCCACGTGTCCAGGGTATTCTCTTCCCCAAACATATTATATTAGTTCTTAAGGTTTGAGTGCGCAAATGATATGTAGAGAGTTGATCACAAAAATATAGAGGAGAAATTAGATTACCTGAGAGAAGGAAAGTAGTCAAAATTTTGGTGGTCCAATTATTTTTCTAAATTTTTGCTAACTCAGTATTATGTCATATAACTTTATTAGAAAAATCAATTTTAATATTTACCAAAATATTTTAGGGACTAAAACATATCTATTTGGTAATATTGTCATTTTTTGTTTTTTGTTTCCAATTTTTATTAAGAAACTTAAACATTTGGCAAACTATTTATAGCGTGAAAACTAAAAAACACGTTTCTTGTTCTTTGTTCATTCTAAAACAAAAGTTTGTTGTTTTTTATTCCCGTTTCGAATTTGTTTCAAAACGACAAAAAAAAAAACATTATTTTGTCATTCTTGAGTCTAATGGATATTGGGATCATGCAAGTCTATTTTTCTTTATTAAAAATGAGAAATAGAAACAAGGAAATGAGAACATTTCTAACCGGGCCATATTTAACCTACTTAATAATAAGTTGATTCCTAAATATAAGCATAAAAAAGTAAATAGCAAAACTCTTATATTTTTTTGATTACTCACGAGTCGGCGGTCTTTGGTCTTTACGCCCCTATATCTAGGGGTATGCACATTGTCCCCTATACCCGTACAACGTAAGGAGTCATCGTTGGATGGATGTTACATCCCATGTGACCTGAACCCAATCCAAGACCTCAAGTATATTCCTTGAGGCCCTACGTTAAACTTTTATATTTTTACTTGTCTGTACACAAATATTATTAATTTTTTATAATAATTTTGTTAAATTAGAAGATGGTAGGGATTCAAATATACCATAGTGAAAAAAATTATTAATGTTTTGACGAGTTAGAAAAACGAGCTATCCAAGTTGTTTAATAATTATATGAACCTTTTCAGCAAATGACAGTTTTTGTTATATTTTTATAAACAATAATACCTTTTGTACTAATGGAAAATGTTTGGCTGTATATTCAAAGTGCTTTAGGAAAAAAGTTGTGTTTATAGAAAAATATTTTACATAAAGTAGCTAACCAGTATCTTCTTATATAAAATTATTTTACTTAAATAAATTTCCCAAATAATATACAATTGAAACATGATAATGGAAATAAAAATACACCCCCTTTGTTTTTTGGACAATAATTATCTTATAACTTATATTAAAAATTTATTTTCTAAACGTCAGAATATAATTCAACGATCAAAATATACATTTTTGACTGAAAGATAATGAATTTTTTCATATATCGTTGTCATTAAAATTATGTTGATCGACTCGAAACGGAGATGCATCGATTCATTTTTATTGATAAAGTTATATTTTATTTTTTAAAGTTAGGAAGATATATATAACGTGACAACTAATGCATAAACTAATTTGAAGGAATCCCTTTAAATGTATGGCCCACTTAAAGGTTTTTTTTTTTCCTTGATAAGAAAAGACAATTTAAATAAAAATACAGAAATCACTAGACACTTGCCATGAGGAAGAATTAAAAAAAAAAAAAAACTCTATAACTAAATATGGTAAAGAATTTCAAGAATACTCTCAGTTAACTAAAAGTAATTATTTTCACGATTCTCAAAGTTAGGTCAAACTAATCATTAATATCCTCGAAAAATTATGTTTGGGAGGTCTTTTCATTTTTTTTAGAAAAAACAATCCTTCCTTAAAAAATACGTACAAGGAACATCTTGAGCAGCCAACATGGACTATCAAACTCCCAACAATTATTTTGATTAATCTTCTAAAGATTAGCTTAAAAAAGGTCGAATTTTTCCCACATGAAATTAGTTTTAAAGTAAAACTTCATGGAATATTTGTATTTTACTTGAATCAATTGAATTACATTCTTGTGAACTTATGAATCGTAGTTTTGAAGTTTTCTTGTAAAAAACAAAAACAATTAAAATATTAGGTGTAACATCTATGTTATTTATAGTTAATTAATATATATAAAATGAAATCAAATAGGAAAAACGTAATTTGCAATGGAAGACACCATTATGATTAATTATTTAGTTGGAAAAAGTAATGGGAAGAAAATTTCTTTTCTCTTTTTTTTTTCCCAAAAGTGTACGTTGAAAGGAAAAAAATATATCTTAACTAGAATAAAGAGACCTATCAATAAAGTTGTATGAACAATAAACACTAACGAAAGAGTCAACAACATAACTAAAATAGTTAAACAACAAAAGAAACATTATATACTTTATAAATAAGGCAAAATGTAACAACCTAATTTATGAAAATAAATTTCAAGCATCCCGTCAAATAGTAATAGAAGCATAAACATTACTTTGAACCCGACAAAATAAAGGTAAAGCTAGTTATATATAAAAATGACTTATTTATTGTTGTGGAAGGTAAGAACAAGGAAAGAAGTTTCTATTTGGGAAGGTGGGAGTCCTCTCCTCACCCACTCAATATGGAAAATTTTAATGTAGGATGAAATTCCCTCGACCGCCCCACTTTCTTATTAAATATTTATTCCGTTCCACTTTTTTCCTTTTTTCTTTTCCCCTTTTCACTCAAAAAGTAGGGTTTTAATTATTAAAATTAGGGTTTGAATTGCCAAAAACAAGTATAGCTATTGACATATATCTTCAAATCCTTTCCACAACATGTTGTACTAAAAAAAAATTAGGGTTCGAATCAGCTTTATTTATGATTTAATCTTTCACTCCACAATTATTGAGCTTAGAAACAAAAAGAAAAAACAAAAAAATATATATTAAAAAGTTGTTTTGACCAGTGAATTAAGAAGGGGAATTGACATATGATTTAATCTTTCACCCCACAATTATTGAACTCAAAAACAAAAAGAAAAAAATATATATTAAAAAGTTGTTTTGACCTGTGAATTAGGAAGGGAAATTGACGTATGTGACCCAAATAAGTTTTGCATGTGTACAAATGACCTCAATTAGAAAGTTTCACTTTTCTGACCCAATTTATTATTTGAAATAAAATATTGTAGGGTTCAATTACGATTTTAGCCCCAATCTTGAAAGTAAGCTTTGGTGATTTGAAGTTGCAAACGAACCATCAACCCCGGGCGTGATCGAACCGCCCAACACTGGGAGTGTAGTGAAATATCTTTCATGGGTGAGGTTTGACCGGGGCACTCATTCGCCATTACACAGTTGGGAAATTTGAAATCACGACTAAGATCTGGGATTTACAATTATACCCCTCATTTTAAATTGTAACCGTTGGCATCCTCATCTTCCTTCTTCCTTTCTTTTCTTGTGTTCGGTTTCCCTCCCTTTCCCTTTCGCCCATCCGACTTTTGCCCTTTCGGTTTCCATATCAGCTGATTTCTTGCTTTTTTTTCTCTGAATCTCATCCCGTAAGTGAAGCTTTGAGGTTAGCCATTTTATTTCGTATTTGCTTCGTAGTTAGTGTTAAAAGAACAATTTTTTTGGTACTGATATGTTGCCATTTTTTTCTATCTTCGTCTTCTTATTCTTTCCCTCGCCGCTTATTTTGTGTTTCCTTTAATGGATTCAGTTGTAGGGCTCGATTTAAGCATTTACTGAATGGTTTTGTGTTGTTCGTTTGCTGATTTTGTTTGCGAACATGGTTAGGTATTCATTTAGGGATTTAGGGATTGCGATTTCTGTGGATCAAATGTGATGATAGTTCATTTTTGTGTGGTATGTGTAGGTCTTTGTTAGATTTGAGATTTGTATGATTTTCGGCCATGGAATGTTGTTTTTGTTAAGGGTTTTTGGCCAAGGAAGCTCGAGGTTCGCATTATGTCGAGATTTTTTATATCAAACGCGGTCGTGGTGCGACTGTGAATTGTGAAGGAACGAAGTTGCATTCTACCATAATTCTCTGTCACGTTAACGGTCGGGGTGAGACCGAGAATTGCGACAGACGAAGAATTTCAAGCAAGTTGGCACAGGAATTGCTTTCTGTTGAAATTCTCGATCACGACCACGACCGCGGTCGTGACCGAGAATTTCGACAGAAATATGGTTTCAAGGTTTTTTTGGCAGTTCCTTCTTTTGTTTGGCATATGTATTTATGGTTAGCTGTTTACTCAGTTTTTACATATTCTTATTTTATTTCAGGTTTATAAC